GTGTAAGACAGATTCAAAATAACATATATCAAATATATTCAGTTCAAATAATACAAAATGAATCCTCTTATAAAACATACAGTGGAAGACTTTAAGATTAGAGTTACCTCTCGCCATTGTTATTGCTTAATTAATCTGAGAGCTGCAAGATAGATTAAATTCAGAAGAAAATTGATTCAGGTCTCTTCTGACTGGCAGATAGGCACAGTGATGGCAACCGGGTTCAATCGTCACCAGTCAGGGAACCTCAGGGAGCAGATAGGGTTTTCTGTTTCTGAATGTATCGCTCTGTTAATTTTTAGCCGTCAAAACCTGATAATTAAATTCTCACCATCAGAGAAATATAATCCTGACTGAAAATAAAAACCCTACTGGGCTTGGGCCTTTTTCCTGACCACAGGCCACACTCAGGATATTTTATTAATTCCTAATTAAATACCTAAATAATTTATAATAATAAAATATCTCACAACTCTCTCCCCATCCTGTCTCTCTTTCTTTGATCTGTCGCCATTGAACCGTAGCCCAACCTCTATGACTCTGTAAAAATATGAGACTTTCTTTTTGTTCTCATGTAAATCTCCATTCTTTTTCAAATCAAGCAGAAAGGTCCCTTTGTTATTGGCTTCTACTTTTCAGTGCTTTTTTTTTTTAAAATAACTTTCAAAACTACAAAATCAACACAAATCCACCAAAAGGGAATGTACGAAAAACAATTTAGGGGCTCATATTCTACAGGGTGATGGAGGATGCCATATTAGTAGAAGAATAAGAATGAGAAAAAAGTTGAAGAGCAGTGCTTTCTTCCCCTGTGCCATTGTTAACATCTTAACCGCCATCATCAACATGTGAGAAGAAAACAAAGAGCGACGAAGTCATAGGTTTTAACAAGGTTTCATTCTCTGATGCGATTTATCTATCTGTCGCAATCTTTAGCATCTGGAAACAAAATGGGCAGGGATTGAGGAAGCGCTTCCACGGTGGTTCTTAAACAAAGGTAGTCAATGTATGGAGAAAGTGAGGAAATTTGAGATGGAGCGAAGAGAGAAGGCAGAAAGTCCGACAAAGAGAGGAGAGAAGTAGCCTGAGATTAAGGTTGTGTGCGGCGCTTCAATGGCGGGGCGGTCTGGGAAAGGAAGAGAGAAGGGATGGAGAGAAAGAAGGAAGGAAGGGTAGCTAAAGAATTTGTTAAACTTAGTCATTTTTAATTTTTAAAACAACAAAATAATTAAAAAAATAGTTGGTTCTGGTCAAAAAATAAAAAATAGTTGGCAGCCACATATGTTTAAAGTTATCTAAGCTGGTGCATTCTCATTAACCAGAACATCAATGAGTTGGTACTTTGGTAGTACCTAAGTATTAATTAAAATATTGGGATCTAAATTAAATTGATGTACTGTAGAAGGCTGTAGAAGGCTGGATTATGGTGATTCTATGAACATACTCACCTCCTAAGTATAATATCCATTTTGTAAATGGCAAAAAAAAAAAATCCATTTTGTAACACAATGTGCAATACAAAATCAATCTTATATTTAGAATCAGAGGAGTATTATTTACTCTGAATGTTGCATAATTTTTTAGGTGCGTTTACATCCAGCATTAAGGTAAAAAAAGCATTTTAGGATCTTGGACGCACTTGAAAAATATTTTAGGATGCTGGGTACATCACAAAATACTTTAAAGTGTTAGATACACTCAAAAAAATATTTCAGAATGCTATAAACATTTTAATCCAATAAAAAATCATGTGAATATACTAAACCTGGAGAGGTGTGGTTTTTATATTAGGCCCCCAATCCCAAATTAGTCAAATTATAAAAATCTTAATTTTCAATTATTTAAATTGTCTGAAATTAAAATTTTAAATGCAAAATTATCCTTTTTTAGCGGCTTCATAAATATAAGTGTATATTTGGATTACACATCAGGGATGGAAGGGAAGGGAATCGGTTTGAGTGATGTCTTAAAAATAAGCACCCAAAACACATCCCACATAAATAATTATTTATTTTTCATTTGATTTGACGGTTCAGATTTAATTTTTTTATTTTTATTTTTTAAAATAATTATTTTAATGGTAATAAAATAAAAATAAAAATAATTTTTTATTCAAAAATAATTAATTAAAAATATTAAATCTAAACAGATAGTGCAGACGGAATTAGGGAGTTGAGGTAAAGGCTAATTGTCCCAATCGCCACCATTATATTTGTATGAATTTCTTGGTTTCAGCCCGACGTTGACAAGTTTTAGCCGCTATAGTGCTTCTCTGAGTATGATTTGGGTTGCGCCTTTACTAGAGATCCGTGTGATTACAGATTTCATGCATATGGTGATTTGAATATTTAGAGGTTTCTACCCTAAATGATGTTGCTTCTATTTTGGCTTTACGCATGGATGTGGATGTATAGAAACATGGTGGAGGCCAGTCGTATGAACAGCTTTAAGCAGGTTGTAATGACAGAAAGGAGTAAGGACTAGCACCAAAGAGGAAGACGGTAGTGTACGTTCGTACCAGCAATCATTTCAACAGAGAGAGAGAGATATGAAATGAACTTCTGACTCAATAATGGCTACTGAACGCCATTGGTGCCTTGCTAGTGCCCAAAAGCACTATTCGTCACGCGTTTGATTTGTCATTGTTCATTATGATATCTTCCCATCTTCAGATTTTAAAGTTTACACCCCGCAGTTACAATGTCAGTAATACGGGAATTTCTTTGTCAGTTTTTGAGTTTTTCTTCATTCCTATCCTCACTGTCAAGATCGAAGGCTTAGGTCATATGCCATTAAAATCGATCGTCTAGGTTATGGATGATGATTTGTTGATCACGCCTCCGATCGATCGATCCATCGATAGCCGCTTATTGAGGCGTCAATGGGGTGATTAATTCTGGAACATTCTACGATTATAGGCACTGATGGAATATTGTATTCTATCAATTTATGAGGTGGAGATCATGAACCTCTCAAATCACAAAAATCCTTCAGCAGGAAAGAAGGCCTTATGGATTTTAACTATCACAATGGCAAGGCTCATCATGTGCGCATCTCTCCATTCTCACGTAATTTACCTCTTCCTCGGCTTTTTAATATTGCTTCATCGTTGCCGTTACTGTAACTTGTATTCGATTCGAATTCAGATGCTTCATGTCAATCTGTTAACCTACTTTCACACCTTGCTTCTTCGTCCGACGTCAATTAAAATGAAAGGGAGGCTTTCGCAGTTGAAAATTTATCGATCTTACCTTCACAATTAGTGCGCTAGCTGCGTCTCCACTTTCCATCTGTGGTCCCTCGTTCGTAATCCTTCACAAGGTCTGTCAATTTCCGCTAATGGCATGGATAAAGGTATTGCATTCCATGAATCTGCATTTGCACTGAAAAGAGAATAAGATCGAACTGATTAGTGATTACCAATGGCTTTACAGCTGTCCTTGATATTGTCTTCTTGTAATTTTCTCTCTGATTGCTAGACGTCCGTCTAAAAGATGTCGTGGAAAGCAGTAATTCTCGATCGCCATAATTGTAATTTACACAAGTGTCATATTAGATGTCTAGATCAATACCCGCATTAATATCCATTGCGCGTTGATTAAAGTTTGTACGGTATACATATATACTATTCCGATTCTTAATATAGGACCTAATATTAATTTTAATCCTAAATATAAGACTTATTTCTCATATTTATCAATTTTTTTTCTAAATTATCCTTATGAATACTTCCTCAATTATAATCAAGTAAGTGAGGGAGGAAGGACAGTAATAAAGATAGTTATAGTATTTTAGAAAAAACATGTCATATTTTTTATAATTAATTAACTTACCTAACTTTCTTAATCTAATCAAATAAGTTTTATAAGTTTTATATTAAAGACAGGAGGAATATATATTGTTGGTATGTTGCTTTGCATTACATCTAATTGTACAGAGGTTTTCTTTTATTAGTGTAATATGATTTTTATTCTTTTTTATTGCTTATTGATTATACGTATATTAAAATTTGACTCTAAATGTTCACATTTATTATGTACCCAAAAATAAATAAATAAAGACATCTCGTACATCGTATGGGCGCCACACTACTTGTTAGAGTCAAATGCCAACTCTTGTTTTGATCAAAAGAGGCCGTTCCTTACTTGTGCGGTCGGTCTCGGATATGACTGCACGCAATATTCTACGTTTGGTTATCTAATTTTCTTGCATTTTCGTTGCTAGTCTCATCAGTTTCGGTGTCTGTCGATGCATCTGCCTCTGATTCTCAAGGCTCATTTTCCGGTATTATTGTACTGCATTTGGTATTTATGCAAGTTTCGGGTTTATTTTTAAACTAAAATATATATTTGGTTCTTTAATCCTGTACAGGATTTTAATTTGGTCTTTTAACTTTAAAAAGTTTACATTTGACTCTTTAAATCTAAAATCATTACGTTGTAATGATAATTTTTTATAACAATCATGTATCTCTTGAAAACTAAATTTAATATGTTAGTATTTGAGAATATTTTATCAATATTTAAGATCTTAATGTCATTATATTTTAAAAAAAATTTTAGAATTAAAAGATGAAAAGTATACTTCTTAAGATTAAAGCATCAAATTAAAATATTATATAAAATTAAAAGAGAAAATGTATATTTTAACCTTATTTTTATTATTATCTAGTTGCTTAATTGAGTCGGCAGTGAATGGTAATAGCATAAACATATCGAAACTCTCGGGATGACTTATCTTTCAGAAATTGCTATTTCAAGCGTTCTCGTGAAAATGACATATGGTGTCGATGGTACTCGAAATTTCAATAAAATATATAATGTGTTGTGGTTTACTATCATAAAAATTGTGAGTGAGGACCAATAGTATCCGCTTTCTTGGACCAGTTGCAGTCCTAGATGTCTTTCGAATACGGACACAAATTCTCTGTCCTACCTTGTTGGTCCTGATACGGATGATCCTTCTATTTGAGCGTTCAAATAACTCCATTTTCTTTGTGTTATAGTCAGATAAGAAAACCTCTTATTTTAACGTCATGGGTTTCTTCCATGTTGGGGCTCTTGCTTTCAGAGTCCCGCACTGCACATAGCCTTTTTCGAGTTCTGTGGGAATCTTCTGACCTTACGCCATGAAAACAAAGCGAGGAAAACGCTCGGAGGTAAGCTTCAATATACTTCGAGACTTGCCTTTGCATGGTATGAACCCTATGCCGCTTGAAACTTGCTAGTTTATTTTCATGGCAGGCATTTTGGCCTTCCATTGTGATGAAGAAATGGTTAAATATAAAGCCCAAGGTGTACGAATTTAGTGAAGATGAATTGGACAATGAAGCAGAGAGTGAAGATGATGGTGAGCTCTGAGTTCTGCTCTACATTTTTGGCCAAGGGATCTGATCGTGTTCTTATATTTTGCCCTTCTTTGTTTCTGTGGAATTTCGTCCAGCTTTCTCTCCTAAGGACTCAAGAATGAGTGTGCGAGAAGACATTCCACATAGAATGCAAGAGACTCAATTCATACTCCCTAGTCAAAATCAAACATCAGGCAACATCCGATTCCTCTGGCTCCTTTTCCCTTTAGGAGAGAAATAAGAAATACTAATTTCACTCATTTCAAGTTTCAAACTGCGTGCTGCCTGCCTACGGGCTCTTTGCTCTTATCTCCTCGCATTGCTTACTCTGGAGTCTCTAGTTATAATATTATTTGCATTATTTATAGTTATAATTATAATGGTAGCTTGTTATGTTTCAAGCATCTAAAGATGGCAGCCCATCGCAGCTTGCATAACTCAGTTTGTAGAACACTGTATCTTCTGGTAGACATTGAGAAACTGTACTTTTATCAAGAGTCAAAATTGGTCAACTTATACATAAGAATTTGATCTTTCCATTAAATATTATATAAAGGGAAAAGGAGTCCCCGGGCAATATAACGAAAGATTAGTTTTTTACAATAATCGAAAAAAGCAATGTGTACGAACTTGTATGACTCGATAGGTATAACCTGTGTGATTAATTTTGTGAACTTCAAGAGATTGAATGTTTGTTTATGACTCCTGATGAATTCAGAGTGTTATAATCTAACTAGGTTCTGATTTCAGCTATAAATTGCAAGGGCAATAAACGGAGACGCAGAAGAGGAAAATCAGAGACTTTGCGGGTTCAGTACATAAACACAAAGGAAGTAAGGTATGCAAGTCATGTGGTTATATTACCATGTCAAACCAGAGGCACTAGTTAAGTGATAAAACCAACGAACCACATCTTGCAGGTTTGCAATTGGCACTTGGAATGTTGCCGGAAGACTTCCAGAGGAGGATCTGGAGATTGATGACTGGCTTTATACCAAAGAACCAGCAGATATTTACATTCTCGGGTAACTAGTTTCGCAAGTTGCTTCACCCTTCATTATCTCTGCTATGTTAATGTTTTGTTTGCCAAAATTAAATCCCCTTGAAAATCCCATCAACTTAATTCTTCATCAGCACTGAATTTGTACGTCAATGATAACTGCGTGCTGCAAAATTTTGAAATGGTATATAGGTTACTTGTCATCTCCATCGAGAGGTTATATAGAGCTTTTCTCTCACGATCCTGCTGATAATGGAGTTGTTGGATTTTCCTTTTGGTTAACTTGACTAAGTGCAACTTCGCGTTTCTTTCTTTTCTTTATCTTATCCATTTTTGTATTACTCTGCGTTGCTAGCTAATCAATCCATGAAATGTGTCTATTCACGTCAGAACAGAGTTATATGGTCCTAAGTTCCATTTCCACACATCTAACCTTCCGCACATTGAGCCTGATAGATTAAGTTGTTTCTAGACAGCCTTAGTTGCAGTTACTACAATGTTAGGATTCTACATCTCTAATGTGGTTGTGAAATTCTTCTTCTGAGGATATTTATATTTTGACAGTTTCCAGGAAGTTGTCCCATTGAATGCAGGAAATGTTCTGGGAGCGGAAGATAACACACCCATCTTAAAATGGGAGACAGTTATTAGAAGAACTTTAAACAAATATTCAGAACCAGAAAGCAAATACAAATGCCTCAGTGCTCCTTCTTCCCCAGTACAAAAAACTTGCATTGCTGCTAATGTTCTCGCTGAGAATATGCATGATCGTGCATTAGACATGATGAATACGCATGCAGGAACTGTTGACAGTTCTGGGCTGGAACAACAAGAACTGAAAGAAGTATTTGACAAAGACCAGAATTTTCAGTTACAGAGAGTATATGGCGTTGATCATCAGGCTAAATTTGATTGGCCTGAACGTCCATTAGACGGATTCTCCCCAGTAGCTGTTAATGTGGATTCAAAACTGCAAAAAGTACTAAGCAGCTCAGGACGAACCGGATTTAACGAGGCAGAGGATGCTTTAGTGCATGGCAATGGAATGGAGTGTTCACGCCGCAGTTCTGGAAAGCTTTGTTCGATGTGGAATGAGCCTGAAGTAGTCGATTCCCTATCTAATGTCTGCGACTCGTTTTTCCACGAGGAAAATGACATTCTTAATGAATTGCCAAGGAAAAAAGAGGATAATGGAGTCGACACGATGAAATCCCCACGTCTTAAGTATGTTAGGATAGTCAGCAAGCAGATGGTGGGGATTTATATATCAGTTTGGGTGCAGAGTTGTTTAAGAAAGCACGTTAATAATTTGAAAGTTTTTCCTGTTGGAGTTGGCTTTATGGGCTACATGGGAAACAAGGTATGCATTACTCCAAGACTCAAACTCTTCACCAGAGTATGACCAATTTGAATTCCCTGATGTAGTTTCACGTGAAGTGGAGAAAGATAGACAAGAAAAGCAGGCATCACTTTCTACTGTGTTTTGCTTTTTGTGTGTGTCTCTTTACTCGCTTTCACTTGCAGCCCATTTAAGAAATTTAAACTATGGCATCTTTTGGGGAAAAAATGAATATTAAATGCATTTCAAGTCAAGTGTAAATGAAAATCTGTTGTATTTATTAAATGAATGAAATCAAGTGCCTTAGAACTTCCTTATTCTGAATTGGGTTAATGCGATAAGAAGTTAAATTATGATGGTCCAGGGCTCTGTTTCAGTTAGTTTGTCTCTCTATCAATCACGATTGTGCTTTGTTTGCTCCCACCTGACTTCTGGGCAAAAGGATGGGGCTGAACACAGGCGAAACTCCGATGTTCATGAAATCCTAAGACGTACCCGCTTCTCATCTGTCTTAGATACAGATCAACCACAAACAATCTCATCTCACGAGTAAGCATTTTGTTTTGAATCCTTTTCCTTCAAATTATGAATTCATGCAAAGTGCATCTTATTCATCCACAATTTATGTGGCCCAAGCGGGTGTTCGCTGTCGTTTAGCATGATCTTTTTTTTTTGGATGAGAACTGAGAAGCGTGAAAAGTTTACTATCATAATATGAATGCCCTTTTAGAATCTAGTGTATTAAGGCAAATCCTGTTGAGCAGGTTTATAACTGAATTTATCAGAAGAAAGTACATCTAGCTCAAAATGTCTCATTTGAATTCTTGTTCCCCCTCTCACAGTCAAATTTTCTGGTTCGGGGATTTAAATTATCGAATCAATCTGTGGGATGAGGAGGCAAGAAAGCTGGTGGCCCTAAAGAAATGGGATGAATTGCTGCTTAATGATCAGGTGAGACACATGAAACTTCGACTCTGCATAATATGAGAAATGTGCACATGATTGCACTAAGGCTTCTCTCGACCAAGATCTTAATCACTTCTCACCTTAAAAATTTGTATGCTAATAAAAATATATACATACCTATGGTATAGTTTAAAGCTGAAGAAGGCTAATTTTCTTGCGATTGAACTTATATTCTTCACATACTTGTAACATGATTTGAATTAGATTTAGAAAAAGTTCTGCGTATCAAGCTCGAATGGGAGGGATAACATGACATGTCCATTTTTGTCGACTACACCGTTGAAGCTAGATCTGCCATTCTAATGAGTGCCTGTCCTTTTTTCACATAATAGTTTCGTATTGCTCCCTCGCATTAAAAGAACAAAATTCTCACTATTATTATTATTATTTTCTTTTTTGTAATATCGAGAAATGAATGCACAGATATATGTATACATATACGGAGTAAACTTTTTAAGGAATTACAGCTACACAGACATCCTCAAGAAATTATGTGATAAAGGTTTGGTATAAATGATAAATTTAACAATACTAGCACAAAGCCCCCATCCCAATATATTAACATATATAATAAAATCTACGTAAGTTACAATATTCACAAGTCCTGACTGAGTGAGACGTTCCCAATGTTCCGATAAAGTCCTACTTTCATCTCTACTCCGCGGAGGAAAAATTTTCCTGGTCTCTTCTCCCATAGTCGGCAAACCCAAGCGACGCAATAGAGTAATTTCTCAAATCAATGTCTTCAAAAATCGAGTCCCTGGTCAAAAACCGCAGGTTCTGCAAAATAACTGGAATACCAGTGTCTTGGAGACCGATTGGAGAACTAACCACTAATACCAGGGCCGGGCATCATACCTGTCCTGCCGTTCTTACCCAGGGGCCAGGGCAAGCAGCCAAGCATGGTGGCTGGTTGGGCTAGGACAGAACAATACCAGGCCAGAACTAGTGATGTTTGTCTTGTGTAAATGCTTTTTATGTCCAAATTTGGCGATTCTACCAACTTATATCCTATTTTCTGAAGGGTTAGAAGTCATCGTACGGAATTTTCTAATTGCTTGGTCTATCTGCAGCTGAGCAAAGAACTGCGAAGGGGGCATGTATTCGATGGATGGAAAGAGGGATTGGTAAACTTCCCGCCCACTTACAAATATGAGATAAATTCTGATAAATATGTCGGTGAGAACCCAAAAGGGAAGAAGAGATCCCCAGCTTGGTATGAGCAAATACTAGTCTCTCATTGAGCTTTTTTACCCAACTTCACACATGTCATTTGCACTTATTGTTATAACTATAGAGAATCCATTTAGTTATGCAACGGGCTGGATATGGGTTGGGAAAAGTAACTGTTAGATAGCACAATGCAGGTGTGATCGTATATTGTGGCGAGGTAGAGGAATACGGCAACTTTCATACCAGCGTGCAGAAATAAAGCTCTCAGACCATCGACCAGTTAGTTCTATCTTCACTGTTGAAGTTGAAGTGTTTGACCATCGTAAACTCCAAAGGGCTTTAAATTTCACTAGTGCAGCCGTATACCCAGGAGTGTTCCTTGATGAAGTTGGGGACTTGTGATATATCCGAACCAAGCATAGACACTTCACCTTTTTTGAGCGAAATATTGCTTCACGCCCAGTATTTCTAGCGCAAACATCTTATGAAGAAGACCACTCTTCAGATACAGCAATGATCACTTAGACCAAGGTGTGATATTTCTTTGGTGAAGACAGGAGGGTGCCAGATTCAAAATAATTCCGACAATCCCTCGAGTTGCCTGCTTCAGTAATTGTCAAAGCAATAAAAGGAGGACATCAAATTATCGGTGTTAGAGTTTTTTTTTTTTTTTTTTTTCAATTGAGTTGTTTAGATCGCCTTGCTTTCAGCAAAATTTTGAACATCACAAGCCATATTCAACGTGTGCATAGTTGCTACCCTTTCCTTTTTGTTTGGAAGTTATTCCCATGTTCAGCTGCTTTGATGCGCCTTCTGGGCAGATATTTTGCATATCAATGCTCTCTTGATGTTTGTCGTTAGCTTCATGTAATTCAAACATTGAGGATTGAATCATCGCGATTTCAACAACTTTCTAGGCCATGTCAAGCAAAATCCTCGAAAGATAACGAGTTTGGCAATGAGAAAATTGACCGGAGCATTCTAGGTGTTGGTCATGAACAAATCCTTTAATCCTCCTGACTTGATTGTCGATTGGTCCAATCTAAGTTGTCGGGTACCCAAATTTTAAAGTCTTGTGGGTATAAGGCCTGAGCCCTGAAATGTTTTCTAAGCTATACACTACTCGGATTTTCTTAGGTCTTTATATTCTTAACTGATCATCTCTTCAGTGTTGCAACCATTGCCATTTCTAAAAATTTTCTATCACATTCGTTGATTGACTAACCATAGTCACTTACCTTGTAATGTCAATGAAAAAGAAAAAAATAAATAACTGAAATTCACTGATAAAAATATTTTCCCGAATAATAAATGGTCAGACTAAATAATTAGACCATTTCCGAAGCTATCTAGGTATGGAACAGTAGAAGTAGCGTTCCCTACCCTCAAACTGATTCGGGTTAATATGCGCCTTTGTCTGAACCAGAGAGGTGCCAGCGTTTCACCTTCTGGTAATTCGAAGGCGATATCATCACAGAATTACAAAATTCACCGTACACAAGATTTTATTTTCATGCATTCAGATAATAACTCATGCCATAGAATGCAATTTTACATTAGAAATAGAATGAGTTCTATTTTTTTATGCATTTATTATACAGATAGATTATGAGTAGAATGTTAAAGGCTGCTTGAGGGGCATCTGAGGAGAGAAAAACAGAGCCCCTTCAAAAGGCCTCTAAAGGGTCCAAACATCCAAAACGGATGATTCGGACCCGGTTCATGTGTGCCTCATAACTAAACCACCAATGAAATCTCAAAATCAAATTCATGTGGCTACTCTAAGAGGCAGCAAAATCCACCATGCCCATCAACACTGGATCCTAGTTTGGAAACAGGACATGTCTCAGCAGAAAGAAAGAATCAGAACACTATCCAACGGAATTCATGCATTATTAAAGAAAACAAACAAAAAAATGTATCAATATAAGCAGTGAAAAGAAGCAAGGAATGCTATTGAGTTACGAGCATCAGGTCTCCAAGGTGAAATAGCATCAATGGTTATTCAGACGCAAATTACCCATTTGTTAAGTTGAGATTCATCACGCGCCCGTAACTTCTTTCCATTTTAAATTACTAAAAACAAATCATGAGAGGGTTTAATCCTCAATAACAGAACACTGCGTCTCCCTAAGAAGAACCTAAACGTGATAATCTGATATCCCCACCACCCGGGGGGGGGGGGGACAGACGATGAAAACAAGAAAATCCAGGAGGGAACAGATGTAGCGATCAGAACCTGTCGGGATTCATTGTAACATCACACTAATATCAGTGGATTGACAGACTAATGAATTGCTATCATCACTTCGCTATTCCCACACAATCAAACCTAGATAATCAAACCAATTCCAAGGAAAACATTGAGCTCAGGGCTTATTAGTGAATCGATACGCCATCAGCGACGACACCTCGTCAGATCCGCATCTGGCATGGTTGCTTCATCAGAAACTCAATTTTTTTCTCTTCTGTTATGAAACAATCCGCCAGAAATGCGTAAATCTACAACAGAGTCACCGCTAGAGGAGCCTTTCATTCCCAGCGATTACGCACAGAGCGGCATGTTCTCGGCAATTTAATTTATAGATACAGCCTAGGGTTTTTCACCAGCAAATTTAGGGTTCGGAATTTTTTTAAAGGGAAAAATTGTATTCGGGACACATACAAAGCCTGGCCCAAGATTTTAAAACACTCTTACCCTTAGGCCCAATTGTACTCAAGAAGGGATCCATATATTAAACCACTGGGGTATCATACAAAGGTTGTTCTTGAATTTCTTTCTAATAATTTTTTTTGCCACCACTAATAAAATTACTTCTTTTCGTGGGAAAAGAAATAAGATTAATTTTTTTCAGTTTTGTTCAGCGTATGAAATATTTCAATTAATTCCTTACCTAATTGAATTCTTAATTTGGATCCTTAAATATAAATATTTAATAATTTAACGATGATGACTTCAATGGCGCCAAATTTTTAATGGACCATTAAATTATGGATGCATGAGCAAATAATGGCGTGGATGATGAGTATGTAATAATTGAGGTAGTAAAATTAAAAATGCTAGTGAAATATCCAAACAAATTCGACTCAATCAAAACTAAATTTTAATAAAAAATATATAGAAATTATGATTAACCAAACTTACTCTCAATCAAAATCAATTTTAAAAAGGTTTGTCCAACACTAATCAAATAGGCACTATTTTCTTTCCCTGTTTTTTTGGTTAGATTAGCCCAGACAATATTTAACATGCACAAATCTAGATAACAAAGTGTTTTATCAAAACTGCAGGTTTCTGTCATCTTTACTTTTTTTTTTTAAAAGTACAGTATCTTATTTGGTTTTTATTTTTATTTGTGAACAATAACAAAAACCGATCTCAAGGAACATGAATATATGTGGGTTTTACTTGTAAGTTCTTAAACATTAGTTAGAAATTATTAAATTAAAATCAAAAGTAAATGAAGGACAATATTAGTTGACTCATGAAATGGGCCAACTGTCAAGTCATGCGGAAGACCGTGACGCACTTTGAGCTTGCATATTTAACCACTTATCAGTCTAACATGATAACATCGCCCATTTACAACAAATGACATTCAGCATTCTACGGCTAATAGTAGCTTACCTCCGATTATTAATATAAAAATTTAATTTTTATTTTGATTTTAAATATAATACTTTAATTTATTTTTTTTATATTTATTTATTTATTTTAAAGATAGTTTTTGTAGTAATGGTAGTTTTAACAAATATATTTTATTAGTAAGAATATTTCAGAAAAGAAAATATCTATTTATTACAAATAAATAATTTAACTAATTTTTGTAATATATTCAAATTAGTTAACTAACTCTTATATTAAGAATTAGAGGTAGTATAAGAGTTATTTTGACTTTTAATTTGATTCTAAATATAAGACCATGATCCATCTTATTTCTCATATTTATCCATTATTTTTAAAGTAGTCTTTATAGTAGTTGTACATGCTAAAGATTTCATTAAATGATAGTTCTACTTCTAACTGATACACATAATTAGTAAGAATATTTTAGAAAAGACAACACCAATTTATTACAAATAATTAATTTAACAAATTTTATTAATCTACTCAAATTAGTTAACTAGCTCTTATATTAAAGACTAGAGGTAGTATTTGACAATTTACAAGTAGTTTTTAGAAATTTTCAACTCTAAATTTTGATGTACATGTTGTCTCTTTATATTTACAATGAATCTGTAGCAATTCACAATTTGATGTATTAAAGGCTTAGGTTGTGTTTGGTGAAGTGGAAAGATGGGTCTTGGAATAGAAATATGCGAGGTTGAGACATCTTATTTTATTTTAAATAAAAGGCTACAATGTTTGATTTGTTAAAAAGTGCCTTTTTTTTTCAGCAAGAGTTCATATAGTTGGCAAGAAGTCTTATAATTCATAAAGTTGTGAGTTTGAATTTCACTACTAATGTAAGGACTTTGTTAGTAAACAATCTGTAGGTACTTATATAAGTGTTTTTTAAGCTTAGACACATATCCTGATCTTAATAAATCTTCAAGACCCAACTAGCTGAAATTTTTTGTTAACCAAAAAAGTTGCTTTATTGAGAGAGAGAGAGATATATATATATATATATAACTAGAAAGAAAATTTAATAAATACCTTTCTCATTTTTAAAAAAAATATTTTTATGTATCAAATATTACAAAAATCTCTTTAATAAATATGTAATAAAATATCTGTGGTATTTTCCTGAAAAGAAATTAGTACATGTAACTCCAGTTTATAGGCAATACTTAAGTCAAGTTGTTTATATTCACTATGTTAAATTTTTCAATGAGACATGGTCATCTATCTTATTTTTAAAATATAAAAAACAGCACAATGACCATGTATGATTGGAGATTTCAACTTGTAGATATAAAAAATTCAATGTAAGTATTTTCCTTAATTTCTCTCTAAATTCAGTTAAATATTAAAGAGGATGAGTTACCTATATCATTATTTAGTTTTTTAAAAAATTGTCATTTTTAGTTTATGATGTGGTGTGATCAGGACTCTCTGTTTAACCACACTAAACAGCTCCTTTAAATTTTTATTAAACTAAGGTCACTGAATAAACTCTTTGGTGAACTTTGACCCAAAAAAAAAAAGCTTTGGTGAACGATGGAAAAATGTTTTTAAAAAATGATGAAAAAATTTCTGATACATGGTCAGTGGTCAATTGCTTGGGCCAAAAGGAAAAAAAAAGTCAATGGTCAATTGCGCGGATGCTTTGCTCCCGAAAGGCCGGAGCGCAGGACGGCACGTGCAATATTCGTGCGGAGGCGGCAAAGAATTTGCGCGTCGCAGCTTCAGGAAAGAAACAAATCACCTCTCGTTTTTATTTGAATGTATTTTGAATAAGAATTTATTTAATACATTCTATACAAATATCTTTCAAATTTCAAATTTTAATTATTTTCTAATTTTAACATTTTCATTAGAGTAAAAAAATTGTGTTCTTATTAATAACAATAAAGATAATCTCTTTCTTAATTATACTGATTAATGGTCAGATGTTAATGAAGAATTATAAAATTTCTATAAATAAAATGAAAGTTTTAAGGAGCCTGCTATATATGCCTAATAAATGCTTTCCTGAATTTGTTCACAGAAAAGTGTGATAATTTAATTATTTACCAGTGTTGTTGTCAATGTTTTGTAATTTGATAATCACTGAATAGGTAGTAAAAGTAGTACTCCTTTTAATTTTATTTACAAGTGACTTTGAGTATATTTTATTAGCAAAAATCTTAAACTTTATTAAATCTATCTTAAAATTTATTTTTTTTAATTTTATCCTAATTTCATATATATATGCTTTTAAAAATAATATATATAATAAATGAATAACAAAATAGTAAATTCTAATTAAAAGTTTAATGATGTGACTTGCAAATAAGAGAAAGAACTCAAACTCTTTTTCTCCATACCTTATATGTAGGGTGAGAGGAGTATTTTATAAGAATAAAAAATAACATTACTTCCTTGTTATTTATTTATAATTTTTAGAGCTTTATTTATATTAATTTTTTGCCAATATATTAATTTTCTTATTGTTGATTATTTTAATTCTTGGGTATTTTTTTGTATAATTTTTCCAATCAACCAAAATATCATATGTAACATTGTCTCCTTTCCTAATATTTTAAGTGTGACATTGTATCTCTTGATATTTTAGGATCTAGTATTCCTGAGAAAATATTTTAAGATGAAGATACTCTTTCACACTTTAATTTGATTCATTATGAATTTTAAGAGATGCATGGATTCAGAATTTTTTATTTTTAATATAACTGTCACGTATGTTACTTTTGCCAATTTAATCAATAATCAATAATCAATAAGTTTGGTCAATATCAAAATGAATTATTCACTGTTTATATAAATATGAATATTTCTTTTTTAGTTCAAATAAATATAATCAATGTACCACATCCAAATCGTTTCATCCTCTATACGTGATTGAGATTTTGATTATTAATTTGTGTATGAATGAAAGAAATCTAAATTCATCCTCTCCAACTTGAGGTAGATTACATTCTTTTTTCTTCTTCCAAAAAGACCTATGATGTATTAAAAAGTATAAAAATATCCAATTTTACAATAACACTATGTTTCTATTTATAAGTCATTTATATCCCAAGCCTGCAAACAAAAAAATACATTAAATTAATTTTTTTTTTACATTTGACCTTATTAAAGATAGAGTATTAAAAATGTTTTATATTTTTTTTTCACTTATTTATTTTATTTTTCTCTTCATTTATTAAGTCAACAAGGATAAAATTAGAAAAAGTTAGGTAATTAAACGTACAAGTAACTTATATTTAAGAACAAATTTTTTCCCTACAAATAACTTATAAATAGAAACAAAATGGTGTAATGTAAATATTTCTAATTAACACATAAGATTATTAATTATTTTTATTTTTAATTATTTCTATATCTTTCTTATTAAATACACATTTCTCTTTCTCAAATAAAAAGAGATAACCAATAAAGCTTCAGTGAATAGAATTGTTAGCCTAAGCAAAGGGTTTCAGTTTTATTTTTATTTTTTAAATAAAATAAGAAGGCTATTTTTCGTTCTAGCTGGACATTAGTCAAATGGACGTCCCACCCCAATTATGATATTGACATAATAGAGCATTGACGATTCATTATTAAAGACAAATATGAGAAGAAACAAAGTATCTGATTCCAAATAATGACCAAAACCATTTGGGAAAATGAAGAGCGGACTCACGATAAAATGGAATCGGTCGGACAATGGACAGTGACAGGAAATTACTCAAACATTTAAGACATGATGACGGGGAGCTAAATTGTTTAAATGGCGGCGAGTCGCGAGTGGAACAGTGCAGTCATCGCTCTCGTATTGTGCAAAAAGTCGCTAACGAAACTTCTCTGGCCCCAGGTTTTCTGTCTCTTTCCTTGAACTCTCCGTCCTTTGTTCTCGCAGACATTCCCTTCCTGCCTCATTTGCCTCGGCGTCGTGTCTGATCACTTCGAGGCTTGTGGCAATGGCGACGATCAGTCTGTCCAAGGCGATGTCTTTGTTGAAATCGGATGCCACCAGACCTTCCGATCTCTCGCATACAAAATACGTGAGTGGCCTTGTGTTTCGTGCTGAACCCACAAAGGAATGTCTTCGCCGAAAGTTTTTTCCGGGCCGTCGATGAGGACGGTTGAGCATGTCCAGAGAAGCGAAATATCGTCCCCCAATGGTCCTGTGATCATCGTAAGTTTGTTTTTGGTTTATTATTTGTGTTCATGAGTTTTGATATGATGCTTTGCTTGCTTTGGGCGCTGTCTGCGTTGTCATGTTGATGTGAAAAGTATAAAAGTTGGAACTTCTTCGCCTGTACATAAAAATGGGAACTTTGAACAGTGATTTGTCGCTTTTGCAACTAATCGGCTGAGGCAAGGGCGTTGCTTGATTGAAGAAGATATAAATGTTCTTTTTCCTGAACAAGGCTTATGATTAGCATAGTATTGAATTTGTTTACTTGTTGATGCTAGTGATTGGTCCAGGAATGACCCAGTTTTTATCATAACATCGTTTGACCATATGGCTGTAAGCCTTTAACTTGCTTTTCGCCGATCGTGGGAAATTTGGAGAAAAAACAAGATAATTATAAGCTTCAACCACTCGATGTCTTTCAATCAATTAATTGTTGGGATCTCAATTGCAGCAGCGCATTCAGAAAAGGAAAAGAAATTTTTTTGGAAGGGGGGGTTGTTTTACAGAAGTAGAACAAATTAGCTGTTTGCAGAGTTTGAAGTGATGTCTTGTAAATAGTGTGGATTGTTACAGATTTTAGATTGAATATTGATTGACATTGATATTGATTGATACTTAGCGTGGTTTAAGCTCTCAAATAGACTTGTATCCATGATCTAATATGAATAATATTAACGAAATTTTATAGCTCTTACAATTTTTATCTGAAAATGCTAATAAAAAAAAATCTGAAAATTTATGAACTTCTCACACTTACAATTACCAGTCTTTGTGTGGAAAATTTTCACCCCTTCTCTTAAAGTCAACTTGGAGAAGTAGCACTGTATTAACAATATATATTCTAGTTATAGACTTATGGTACGTGATAGTTCCTAGCCAATTGGTGACGTTGATGCTAAATTTATCTGAACATTTACAGCTAGTTAATGCTTCTTTTCTTTTTGGGTAAGAATAATGGTTTATCATATTTCATAACTGGGATAATGAAGACAAATTTGATATGTTAAGGGGCTAGTGATGTTAACAAACACTCACATTTAAATATAACTATTGATACCTAAGCTTTGGTATTGTATGATATGTTTGAGACGTTTTTAAACGTATTTGAGAAGACTCAAAGAAGTGTGAATACTAAAGATTTGATTGTTTCAATGAGTACTTTTTAATGCACTGAGTCTTATTATTTGACGCATATCCAACATGGTTTGAGCTCCGATCAGAAAATCTTGGTATTTTGTAGGCCCCAACAGTACATCTGGCTTCACACACACACATATTAGATTATTGTCTCACATTCAGCTGAAAAAAAAAATATTGTCTCACATTGTTAGATGGGATCATTAAAGCATGGAGAGTAGAACATTTGGGCGCCTTTTTTTTAATACAGCTTTCAGCAACCATATTCAGCATTCAATATGTATTTTTGCAGTACCCAACACAGATTCTAAGCGTCCTCTGTCTCATTCTCTTGAATAAACTAGGTCGATCCAAACTCTTTGTTGGAGCTGCAGTCTAAAAATCATGCTGTAGGGCAGACAGGGACAAATTCAGATGCGCATAGGAAAACTAAAATTGTATGTACCATAGGTCCTTCTACCTGCTCACGTGAAATGATTTGGAAACTAGCTGAGGCTGGAATGAATGTGGCACGTTTAAATATGTCACATGGGGACCATGCGTCACACCAGAAAACCATTGATTTTGTAAAAGAATACAATGCCCAATTCAAAGACAAGGCTATAGCTATAATGCTTGACACCAAGGTAATCTTTTCTCCTATTTATATTTCCACTCTTTCCATGTAATTTCATTTTGTTTTGCATTTGAACCATTGAAATAGCCCAAAATATTTGAAAGTTTTGAACTACATTTTTTTCTCTCTCATTATCCTATCACTAGGTGAAGAGAATTATTTCTGATACTTTGAATCAAGAAGCAGTAGCTGCGCACTAGGTTAAATAAGCGTGCGTGCACATGGATGGTAAATGTTCACTTATGTAATATGGTAAATTAATGCTAAATAAATGCTCATGCTGATTACCATGAAGTTAAATAAATGCTTACGCTTAAACACTTGAGATCTGCCTGCATTGCCTTTGCTTCCCTTTCTCCGGTCATACTGCTTATATCCTTTTAAACACCAAAATAATAAATAAATAAATAAAGCATAAATTCCTTTGTTTTCATATCTAGTCATGCTTTTCAATACCTTGTGTTTTAGTTTTGATTTTAACAGATGCATGCGCTGATTTTCTTTACAGGGTCCTGAAGTTAGAAGTGGGGATGTACCTCAACCAATTTTACTTAAAGAGGGACAGCAATTCAATTTCACCATTAGAAGAGGGGTCAGCTCAGAAGACACAGTCAGTGTAAATTATGATGATTTTGTGAATGATGTGGAGGTTGGAGACATGATACTGGTTGATGGTAAATATCGATTTTTTTTTGCATGTGTTGAAGACTTGAAGTGGACCATGTACTGTGCATGGCAGAAACACTGCTACAACTGTCATGTTCTATAAATTACTGAATATTGGATTGTTGCTGCTGATTCTATGCTTTTTATCTGACTAGGTGGAATTTTGTCATCTGCCGTATCGGATGATTCCTGTTATTTGTAATATGTTTTGATGATTTGAATCTTTGAGTAGCCAGAATGTATTAAATTATTGCATAACGGGGTTTGATTATCTATAAATACAAGTTGAGCTACATCTGTTATGTTTTTAATAGGTGGAATGATGTCTCTTTCTGTCAAGTCAAAGGCGAAGGACTTGGTTAAATGTGCAGTTATTGATGGCGGAGAACTGAAATCTCGCCGTCATTTGAATGTCCGTGGAAAAAGTGCAACACTTCCTTCTATTACTGGTATTTTTTCAGTTTTATTTCTTAATGACACGTCATGCCCTGGTTTATTTTTATTGTTTAAATGTGCATTTGTCATTTATGTTCTCTTCTTTCTTTTATGCATCAATTCCACAGACAAGGACTGGGAAGATATCAAATTTGGGGTGGACAATGAAGTAGATTTCTACGCTGTCTCATTTGTGAAGGATGCTAGAGTGGTTCGTGAATTAAAAGACTACCTGAAAAGTATTTTTCTAGAAATCTAGTCATGTTTCTGAGCTTACTCTCTGGGTATATGCTCCTGTGTGGGTTAAATCTATTCCTTTTTTCTTCATAATAAGATTATCATAAAACTCTTCTATAGGTCACAATGCCGATATACATGTGATTGTAAAAATTGAAAGCGCAGATTCCATACCAAATCTTCAATCAATACTTTCAGCTTCGGATGGGGTTAGTTTTCAACTCTTCAGATTCTCTTAATATATGTAATTTTTTGACATATGCAAAATAAAAAAATGGTATTGTTCGCGCCAACTGAGCTCTAGTGAAAACTAATTTATGTTAGTCTTCAATTTATGCCTAGTTTCTCCATAATGGTCTGAAGTCTGAACTCTATTCCGGAACAAATAACAAAATATCATGATTTTTGTCTACCATGTAGATGATAGAGCACCACAACCTATATACATTAGAGGGAATAAGAAAGAGTGGAAGAAAGTTAACACCAGGTCAGCTAGAAGCGGTTAGCTGTAGTAAATTATATTAGACCAGTAGTCAGTAAACATTTTAGCATCATAAACATTAGAGCAGCAGTTATTCAACATTTTAGCAACCTCAGGTGTTCTCCATGTTTACAGCATACGCTTTCTAGGCTAGTATCCAGTTGTCATTTTATTTTCTTTATTATTTTTCAATACAAACATGTGTGGGAAGCTAGGTAGAGTCGTAGAGAGTGTCTTGAATTTCTGTGAACTTGTATTTGGAGATACTTCCTGGCTTTATTGGTAAAGTGAGTTGAGATTCTTGCTTATTTTCCTAGTAAAGATTTTCTCCTTTTCTTCCTATTTCCCTATTCCACCTTAAATGTTCTTTTACTCTGTAGGCCATGGTTGCTCGTGGGGACCTTGGAGCTGAGCTTCCAATTGAGGAAGTTCCTTTACTGCAGGTAATGTGTTCCTAACAGAAAACATCTTATAGATGCCACCATAAAAGATTGGTGAAGGAGTTTCTTGAATGGATTAGATTGCTTAGGGATTTCAAGTAAGCAATGTGAAATGTAGAACTTATGTAGCATTTAGGGTAAACTGCATACCTGGAATCTGAGGTGTGAGACATGTGCTGCATTCTAATCTTAAGCTTGTTTCTGTTCGTTGTTCTGACATGGTTCTCGTATTAAATGTGCGTAATGTAACTGCTGTTTCTACCATTTGTGGCCTTAAATGTTTTTGGAAATAATATATTTCTCTTATAAGTGATGGGACTGTGTTTAATCTTATACATGCTTTTTTAACCAAACAGGAGGACATCATAAAAAGATGTCACAGTATGCAAAAGCCAGTGATTGTCGCAACTAACATGCTTGAAAGCATGATCGATCATCCTACACCAACAAGGGCAGAAGTCTCAGACATTGCAATTGCTGTCAGACAAGGTGCCGATGCAATCATGCTTTCGGGGGAAACTGCGCATGGAAAGTAAGTTTGATATATTTTCAATTTCCCCCCTTAAGATGTACTTTTTCTTAAGGGGAAAAATGTGCTTGCTTATAGATCACTACCTCTTATTTCAATTTAGTGAAATACAAAAGGCAAACATAAAGTGGTTATTATTGACATTCTACATATGTTGTAGTTATAAATAAATACCCATAAATCCACTTCCATTGAAAATGTATGCATGCTTTGAAATTTCATATCTGGCTTTGGGCAACATGCTTGGTTGATTGTGCTGTGCCTAATTATAATGGACTTCACGTTTAACTTATTTCCTTTTACGATTTATAATATACTGTATCTTTGGATGGCTACAAATTGCCTCAGATTCCCATTGAAAGCCGTTAATGTAATGCATGCTGTGGCATCGAGGATCGAGTCAAGTGTTCAGAGTAGTGTTGGTCCTCCTAATCATCTGAGTTCCCATCAGGTATGCGCTTAATTCAGGAGGAAGTCATCTTTCCCTCTACCTTAAGCACGGTTCATTTTACAGATGTCCAGATTTGATCTATTTGAAAATATAACTAGTTTGTGTTTATATTTTGACAGAGCGAAATGGGAAAAATTTTTGCTTTTCATGCGACAACTATGTCTACCACCCTCAATACTCCTCTAATGGTTTTCACCCAAACAGGATCAATGGCTGTTCTCTTGAGCCATTATAGGCCTTGCTGCACCATCTTTGCATTCACCAATGAGTGAGTAGCCCCTTTAAGGGGCTTTCTTTATTTTGAGTGATTTTGGCTTCTCAGCTTTCAATTAATATGATTTCATCTCTTGCAGGGAAAAGATTAAGCAGAGGCTGGCACTTTACCGCGGTGTTATGCCGATATACATGGAGTTTTCAGACGATGCAGAAGAGACCTTCTCTCAAGCCCTCAAGCTGCTATTGGTGAGTATTAGCAAGGATCTCCATGTTTGGCATAAATCTTCTTTCCCTTAATGGTGTCTTATAGAGTGGATGTTAATTTTTATGATTCAGAATGAGGGGCATTTAGAGAAGGGACACCATGTTACCCTTGTCCAAAGTGGCACACAAGCAATCTGGCGTGACGAATCCACTCACCTGATACAAGTTCGTAAAATTTCATGAATGAAAATCATCTGTGAAGATATTGTCATTTTTGGTAATTAAGATTTTTTTTTTTTAATATTCAATTGTGTGTTAGATTTTCCCCCCCAATTGCCTGTAAGGTTTTTGTAGGTTACTGGTTATTAAGGGTTGTTGAGCACAAAAACTGGATGCTTCAGGAACCGTCTGAATCCAAATGATCCAATTCATTGATTTTGGGATTGCTGTGCTCTGCTTCAGGTTCTCTGACTGTTTATTAACATATCTGAATCAGAATATGCAATAACTCTCGACATTTTCAAGTTATTGCTGAATTGACAAATTGAAATTGCAGTCACACATTTAACTCTTTGCCTAAAAGAAAAAGGGACCCTTTCAAAGTCTGCTTATACACAATCTACTTCCAAGATTGTTATTACTGTTAACTTTAAATGTCCATTTGAAAATTACACTTGGAGGGTGCCAGTTTCATCATTCTCTTCAGATTTGCCTTGCAAATGTACACAACTGTACCACTTTGCACAAGCAATATAAACGACCAAATCTAAGGTTGCCAATATAGCTAAAAGGAAATAAAATCTATCTAGATGACCTTTGTTTAGATTTCCAGGGATCCATCCTGGCTTGTCGTTATCAGAAGTTATGCTCATAACTATGCTGACAATTAAATTACTCACATAGTTCCCAAGTGACATTGATGTCATGCACAGTGCACTCCCAAAGCTCTTTAATCCATCTGGGGTTTGAGCATTGAAGAATTCCAATTGCCCCACGTACATGAAAACCTCAGAAGCTCCTATCATTGCATACTGAGGAACTTGCCAGAAGATGCTTAATGAGCTTGTGAAGCCTTGTTCTGCATACTTGAGCCTATAACATTCTACTATACCAGCTGAAACCATTGCCATTACTGCTATGACAAGGCCAATCCCCATTCTATCGAGCTCGGTGAGTCCCTTGGAACGGAATTGTTTGAGTCTCCGGAGAAATGGATTGATGACTCGTCGGTAGAGGAAGATGACGAAGGCAACACTGAGGATATCAAAGCTTGACATGCTTGCTGGTGGTATTCTGAAATTGAAGATGGTGGTTTTCATGGCGGCGCCTTGCTCCACGAAGAGAGAAGCCATTTGTGTGAAAACAACTGAGTACATAATAGTGCAAAGCCATACTGGAATTAGTCTTATTACGCATTTCACTTCTTCTACTTGAATAATGGGGCAAACACGCCAGCGGCTGTAAACTGCTCCATTGATCTTGTCTTCCAGGTCTCTTGATGATACAACTGCTGCCTTATCCAAGCATCTACAAACAGATTATGGCAAAATGCGTCAAAATCAAACCCTAACCTTAAAGCCGATGCCTTTATATTCATTTAATTGGAGGAAACGTTTCATTTACCTACCCTTTTTTCTTACCTTGCAATAACCTCTTAATTTACATGTAAAGAATGTCACCATTTATCGCTTAATGTTTGGAAACTCACTAAAAACGAGCTTTTGCAACTTTCGAGAGAAGGCTACTCTCACATTGCTTTGGTGTAATTTTGACAAATACCTACTAGTTTCCAAACACACTTATTCAATAGTTCCATTGCATTAAATTCATATCATATTTAAGTGGAAGTAGACTTTTTCCTTAATTTTAAACCAGTACTTACCTGAAGCCTTCGGTATGGAGAATCTTTCTATGGCCAGTTTGATTAGAATCCTTGTCCTCCATGCCACACAAACCCTCCCCATTTGGTGGTACTTTAACTCTGCACTTCAGTGATGCAGCAACAAGAACTTGGCAGAATCTGGAGAAAGGATTTCCTCTGAGCTGGAAGTTCCTGTACCTTGGAGTCCCCACCAGAAACAACACTAACGCTGCAAAAGCAGCGCCGGTAGAAACCCAGAACCCGACATCCCACAAACCTCCATCCTCAAAGTATCCGAGAATTGTGTTGGAGATCAGAGAACCTAGGTTCAATGCCAGATAGAAGTAACTGAAGAAAGCTACCTTTGAGTTTCGCTCTTTAGAGTGCCCTCCATCGAACTGATCAGCCCCAAATGTTGCTATATTTGGTTGATACCCTCCATATCCTAGAGCAATGAGATAGATTGAGATATAGAACATGGCAATCTCCAACCTTGAATGTTCCCAACATTGAATTGACTCTTTCCCACAACCTTTTGGTCTGATTAAGAACAGGTATGTTGACAGCGACAAGGATCCCAAACCCTGTCACAAGGTACATATGTACAGAAGACTTTGATTACGCGCTAGCTAAATCTTGTCTTTGTGAGAATTTCAGGATAAATGAAATGATTAGTGATTACTTACCATTGCAAAGATGACTTGAAAAACAGTACAGGCTTTATATCTTCCCCAATAAGAATCACTGAGAAATGCACCCACGAGAGAGAAGAGGTAAACAGTTCCAGTCCACCTGCTTACGTTGTTTGCAGCATCAGCATTAGTTTGGTCTAAAACTCTTGTCAGGAGCAGTACGAGGTTCACTCCAACCCCAAAGAATGCTAGCGTAGCCAGACCTTGGTTCACTATTTTACGTCACCACCAAAATGCAGAAACAAGCAGTGTCAGCGTCTTTTTTCTCTCCCCTTATATAGCAAGACGAAAACGGAAAAATAATTTCTTCCCAAGGCGACAGATTCGGTTAAGAACTTATGATCGTCGTGAAAACACAAGAAACCATGAGGCTAATAAATAAAATCAATCAAATGCTTGGCTAAATCATTCAGGTTCTCTAAGATATGTTTGGGGCAAAAAAATTGGTATCTATTCTATATTTCGTCACTTCCGCACATGTGCTGTTTCTGGCAGGCATCTTACCTTGTAGTTCGTGAGATTGTGACAATCTTGTTTTCCTTAAACTGTTTATATCTATTCTTTATGTGTGTGTTCGTATGTATGTATAGCAGAAAGCATTTATCGCTTATCAACCTGAGCGATCAGCTGCTTTAATTTTCCAAGCGGTCGAGAGAAAATACAGGTATTCTAGTATCTGCTTATCATGCATCTAAGCTTCTGACACGTGGCAACTACCCACTTACGTCAAGTCCCTGTACTGACTACGTGTCATGCTCGTATTTCTTTCAGGTGCATGGCAGTTGCTTCCTTGTTATCACTCCCTTCCCAGTTCCCGTAGTTTCTGGCAGCCTGTCGTTTCATTTGGAAGTGATTCTAGGGACTCAGTCACAGCCAAAATGATATTCCAGGTTTATTTAGAGAGAGAATCCAAGTGGCTTAACCTTCTTGATTTCTCTAGAAAGACCTATATATGGGCTAACACCCAAGCATGCAACAAGTTAAAAGCTGAAACAATTGGTCGGTATTTTCGGAACCAGAACGTAACATACATGACACTGCATTAAAGTTGTCGTTTTCTTCTTATCTGGGACCGATCGATCACATGACCAAAGCGCTTGTTCATTTGAAGGTCAGAACGAAAAGCTAGCTGGTTTTCCTCTTATTACTCCTAAATCTGATAGGTTATATTTAGGTAGAATTAATACGTTTCTGCTGAACAAGACTCAAACTTTGTTTACACGCGTACGACAGCAGTAATTAAGATATCTATATATGATGCGTGCGGATCTGAAAAGTGAAATGGATTCCGAAGTTTAACATGGATACACAATAATTAAATGATCCTCCTTTATCATTTACCGTTTTTTTTTTTGTGTGTGTGCATGAACAAGCGAAAATGATCTTCCGGAGGACAGAAAAACTTGTCCTTGTGAAAGGGAATCCGAGTCTTCCATTATCTAGATAATCACATGAATTCGTCAAGCTATTGTGATATCAGATCATATATAGACAAAAGATGAGTAATTAATATGAATTTTGTTTGGAGATCGATGGAGCTTACAGAGTATGATAATTCCAGCAATCCAGGTTCCAGAGTTAGCTCTCACAGCTGGTCGACCTCGCCAATCAACACTTCCATCAACAATGAACACTTCTGCTGCTTCTTCTTCTTCTTCGAACTTGTTCTGCATATTCAACTCGTACAATATATCATCACCTTTACTAAATTATTTCTGATGGGTGTGCATGGTGAGATCGAACAGCTGAGAAATACTGATGAAGAAAATAATGAGAAAAAAGCCAATCTTAATGAAATAAGGAAGAGAACTAACCTTTGAGATGGCCATTGTTGAAGTGTTGATACGAAAGAGAGAAGTTTAAAGGTCTTAAATTATTGCTTGGGGGTGTAATGAAGAGGAAGGAGTGTTGCAAGTAGCAAAGAGGGATGTGGGAATGAATAAATAGAGCACGCACCGAAGGGTCGCATGCACATGAACGGTGCAGATTTTTGTGTAAGACGCAATCACATAAAAGCCTCTGTGATTTTTATTATTATAATTAATTAATTATTGTTCTTGTCTATATTATATATACATATATATATTTATATATAGATATAAATGTTACTATTGTCTCTTTGGGCATAAATATTTATGCAGCTGGACGATCTATGTTTTTTCCCCCTACACCCACATAAATGGTATCTTCTTTTTTTTTTTTTTGGATACAAAAATAGTATCTTCTTACTTCGGGAATTGATAATAAATTTATCCCGTTTAATTTTAATGTGAGCATTTAGAAAAGAATTAAATGTATGATTAAGAACAATCTTGAAACCTAATCATATAACGGTTATTAAGGGTCTAATTATTTCCTTAAGTTTTTCTCAAGAGATTGTACCTATTGTTATCAAACCCGCAAGTTGATTTTCTGAGTTTGATGTTTTTAGTTTACAAAATCGTGTTGACTTACTCTTAAATTTATGCTAACAATAAATTTTACTGAACTTACGAGTTTACTGACTAAGTTTACTATTTTTATGCTTACAAAATTGTGTTAACTTGCTTATAAACTCACATTAAATTTTTGAATTTGATTTTATTGAGTGACTTTTATATATGAGAATCTAATTATATCCTTGAGTTTTTTAAAGAGGTTGTACCAATCACTAATGTCACCAGTTTTATTAGTTGAAATGTTACGTCTATCAAATTACAAGGGAGATTTTAGCTAAATATTTTCCAATATTAAACTCATTAACCGCATATAGTCTCTAGAAAATTTATTCAGTCAGAAATTTAAAAAAAAAATCACAAATTAATGTTGAAGATGACATCCGTGTCATGGGCTAAAATTAAATACTTTATTCAAATAAATAATATTCGTTGAACTGAAGGAATTATCGCACGT